AACCTTATCAATTAAATGGCAAGCAAAAGTTATAGGCATAAAGGATTGCATTCAAATATGGATTACAAAAAAAAATCAAGTATGATATTGTAGATAACTATTATGTCTTAAGAGGTTTTGAGACTTTACATGCCAACAAAAGACGGCATCAAATTAATATTGAAAAATGTAATCTCTTAACCCAGTCTTTGTTAAATTATACTTGGATTTTTATGTATCACACTGGAGTTCAAACTGTTTGACTTAGTACTCATATCTTACGTTGTTCATTTCAGATCTTGGCATTACTGTCCTCCCTAAGACTCGCTTCTGTTGAATTTTTTCCCTAGGCTGTTCTATATACCCTTCAGCAGCACCAAACAGCTCTTCTCTTTTTCCTTCCAACCACTAATCACAGATGTTAATCTCCCAATCACTATACGCTGTTGTTATGTGCCATCAATTCATCTCTGGCAATCCTATGAATAAGTAACCCTCCAGAAAAAAAATGTCCTGCTCATGACACCCCTGCTAACTTGTATTAAATTCAAGGCTGTGGCTTCCTTTACAGAGTCAATTCATCTTTTATTTGGTCTTCCTTTTCTTACTTCTGCCTTTGACTTTCCCTAACTAGTCTTCTCCAGTAAGTCTTGCCTTTTCATGATGTGTCCAAAGTGACAGGCTCAGTTTTGTCATTTTTGCTTCTAAGAAAAGTTCTGAATTGATCTGACCTAGGACCCACTGGTTTGTCTTTCTGTTGGTCAAAAGTGTTTGAAAAGCTCTCCTCCAGCACCAAGTTTCAAATGCATATTTCTCCGTCAGCTTTCTTCACTGTCCAGCTTTCACAACCATATATTGTGATTGGGAATACAATAGTATGGATTATCTTGGCCTTGATCTCCAGTGAAGCATCCTTACATTTAATGAGCTTCTCTAGTTCTTCACTGCTTTCCTTTCAAGCCTTCTTTAAATTTCTTGGCTGACGTTGCCATTTGAACTGATGACTCAGCCAAGGCATGCAACATCTTTCACAGTTTTGATTTATTCATTGCCATTAGTAAAGTTGTACAATTCTTCTGTAGTCATACTTTTTTTTTCTTAATGTTCTGCTGCCATCCTGCTTTTTCTCTTTTTTTCACCTTCACCAGAAGTCATTTCAAATCATTGCTGCTTTCTGCCAGTAAGATGATATCATCTGCATTATCTTACGTTATTGATATGCCCGCTGCCAATTTTCACTCCTTCTTCTGATCCTAATCCAGTTACCCTTATGGTATGTTCTCTGTACATGCTAAATAGGGAAACAAAATACACCTTTGTCTGACATCTTTGCCTAAGGAACCATTCTGTGTCTCCATATTCTGTCCTAACTGTAGCTTCTTGTCCATGAAACAGGTTACATATCTGAACAGTCAAGTGTTGAGGCACACCTATTTCTTTCATGACAATCCATAGCTTCTTATGATACACAAAGGCTTTGATGTAGTCTATGAAACATATACTGATCTTCTGAAATTCTTTGGTGTGCTCCAGTAGCCAATGTCACTGAAGCAGTCGGTGTGAGCTTAGGTGGATTCGGGGGATGGTGGAGGACAGGAGAGCCTGAAGGAGTGTTGTCCATGGGATCGCGATGGGTTGGGCATGACTTCATGAATAACATAACATAAGCAGCCAATGTATATTTGCAATACAATCTCAAGCATCTCTTCCCTTTTGTAATTCAGTTTGAACATCAGGCATATCCCATTCCATTACAGAATTTTACAAGTTGTTCTCCTGCCTTGTTTCTTACCACTAAGCCAAATTCTCCTCCAGTATATGATCCTGCTTTGTCTGCCCCCTTGTGCCTTCCAGTCACCTAGGATTATCAGCATTTCTTGTTTCTTGATGTATGTTACAAAGAAATTAGTAATACAAGTTTCTGATTTCTTCTTCGACATCTGTTTTTGGAATGTAGACTTGTATGATAGTTATATCAATAGGTTTTCCACTAATTCTGACTGATATGATTAGGTCAAATTTTGCATTACAGCCTCTTACTTTCTGTGCTACATCTTGCCTCAATATTACAGCTACTCCATTTCTTCTGAGTTTTCCTTTTCCAGAGTAAAACTATATTCGTCTGACTGAAAAAATCCCATTTTAGTCCAGTTTAGTTTGCTCTCACCAACAATTGCGATGTTTCACCATTTCTTGCTTTACACCTTCCAGTTTGACGTGATGCTATATGCTACCATCAAAATTACTATCCAGGATGCTGAACAACACTACACCTGAAGAGAGAACCGTATCTGAACTATCTCTTCTCCACTTAAAGGCTCATCATGCACAATTCTGCAATATACAATAATTATTTTCACACATACTACTAACACAGGCTACCCACTGCATATGTTCTGAAACAGCTATAAAGCATAGTATTTAGCTGATATTAAGCCACTTCTAGCAATTTTTCTTACTGAAAAAAACAGGGATAGTAGTATTAGGCATTGCACCTGTACACTCATATATACATGATCTTAATCATGGGTCCTCAAACTATGGCCTGTGGGCCAGATCAGGCCCACCATGCCCATTTATCCGGCCTGCCTCAAAGATTTTGGACTCCCCACCCCTGCCGCCACTGCTGCCTGCCTTGGCACACACCTCGCGGGCAGCGAGGCGGCAGCTTGCTCACCTGGAAATGGTTTTGGGCTCGCTGGGAGATCTCCAAGCGAGCAAGCTGCCGCCGCATGCACCCACTGCTGCCTCACATGCGCACCACCACCTCACCAGTCCGTGCCCCCAAGCACCCCCCCCTCACCGGGCCATGTCTGTCACTGCCACCTTTCAACTGGCCCCTTGTTGAAAAAGTATGAGGACCCCTGATCTTAATATAATCCTTACAACATGGTGGAGATGAACTGCAATCCAAAACCCAGTATTTACACCTCAGCTTCATTACCAGCTCGCTAATTCTTTATAGAAGTTTAAGAAACTGCACAGATTTTGTAGGCATGACTCATGAACTGGGAATAAGTTTCCTGCCATCTCTTTTGCATATTATCTTTCATTCATGCAGAGGTGAAAACTTTCCCTACAAATTCTTCCATGGAGGAAAAACAGTTGCAATGAATGTGGCCTGTTGCCTCTCAATTTTCTACTTATTGGAATTGGAAAGTATTCTAAACCAATATGATACTTAACTTTTTACGTTATCTTTACATATAAGATCATCTCAAAGAACAGGGTTGGCAAAAAGTGGCCCATAAGCAACATACACTCTGCCCACACCTGAGTTTAAACACCTGTTCCCCTGAATTCAGTGCCACAGGGGCAACTAGAGAGATTGGTACAGAAGTAGCTTGTTTTCAAAGTAAAATTAGTCCTTACCAAGGTTTGCAAACCACTGATTTTTCCCCCACTGTCCCACCAAATTGAACAGTACAGCAACAGCAAAACTGCAACCTGCTGGGGGATGTAGGGGGCAAAAGTGCCCCCTGGACGTCACCCCATCATACAGACTCTCATTTGAAGCATGCAAGTTTATGACAAGAGGTTCTCCTGCATTGTTTCAGATTTTACTATTTTAATCAATTACTTTAGCATTGATCTGATATTTGACTATTAGTATATGCTATTACTTACGTGATTAAATAGTGAGTGTGCAGCAGAATTAGGCTAAACAGTGGAAACCTCTGTCAAGTCCTAAAAGGGATAGATGGTTCTAATAGGGGACAGTGGACCAGCCTTAATAGGCTGCTATTATTCATTATACCTATGAAGTCATGAATCCTTTCTTCCAACATTACATCTGACTAAACAATGCCCTCTCAAAGCTAGATACTTTGTTATAACAAAACTCTCCCAAGTCCACATGACACACAACTGCCTATTATCGAAAGTGGGTATAGGAAAAAAAGATCCTACATGAACAAACCACATACATACACTTTTTCCAGTTAGCTCTCATAACTGACATTAGGTTTATTATTTTTCCCATTCTGCCCATATAAGAATAAAGTGAATTTCAGGAAATACACCCTAAATTCCATGTCCCATGATGAAAATGGGAGACCTACTTCTTGATCGTCTGAAGAAATGACAAATATCAGCTACCAATTGAGTTGCAAATGATATCTAGTATAAAACCACTTTCTTGAACAACTGTTACAACCTGGTCAACTGCTTATCTCTATTGTTAAAAACATAAGCCTGCCCAGGCAAGAGAAATATAAGATCACCAGCTTTTCAATTGGCCTCAGTCTCATGACAGTAAGCCCTACCTTCCCATCTAAGTTTAGAGAACCAAGGTGGATTTCTCAGCACTCCTTACATCAGTCATTCAAGTCAATTCTTGCACTAGCCTATTTCAAATTATCCTGCTTTAGGCAGAAAAATTACAGTGACCAAGTTTCTCCAGGTGATACATAAGTGCGGGGTGGGGGAATGAAGGATGATCTTGAAGCTCTTTCCTCTGGATGGATAGATGCGAAGAAAAGAATAAGCAATAATAAAATGTGATGGACAGCTAGGAAGACCACAGAACACAAAATGAAGAGCAACACTGCATTGACAACCCCTCCCCAAAGCCTCGGTGACAGGAAATGGTTAAACCCAAAGATTAGCTTATCAACATGCAATGGAAGCTAAACTGCTCCAGAAACACAAATCACAGGTGTAGTTACATACATTCTAGATTTATACAATACACATGTGTGATGGATAATATTACACACACATAATATGCATACACATGCACGCATTTGTATGCATCTTTAAAGCATATGCATTTGCTATGTGCGCAAACATGACACACGTTTACCGCACTTTGGTGGCAGCGTTGGGGAAAACTTTCTGCTCCAGCAGACCCAGCACCCCCAACACACACAAACCCAAGAGACAGGCAAAATGCGAGGCAAGAAAAGCGCGCAGCAAAGGACTATCCCCAAGCACCAACAGCCCCTATTCTCCTCAGCTGACTTGTTTCTCCAGCCCCCAGTCCCTGAAAACCCCGCGACGGATAGGTGGCCAAAACATACCGAGTATCAGGCATATCACATCCAGCGCCACATAAGGCAGACGCGTCTTGTCAAACATCGTAACGACTCCGCCCGGCTCCCGGCCCGGGGATTCCGTGTGGACCACGCAGGGGGCTAGCGAGACCGGCGGCGGCGGCGGCGGCGGCGGCGGCAGGGATTCCCTGGCTCAGCTGCATCCAGCCACAGGGCCGGCTGAGGAAAGGCGGAGGAGAAAGCAAAAAAGACAAGAGCAGACGCTCACGACCCAACCGCAGCACCACTAATGCGGCTCGTAGAGAGGCTGGGCTGGTTTTTAAAGAGGGGGAGGGGCCTAACAACGGCGCAGGGCGATTGAGAGGGCCCCAGTTTCCGCAGGCTCCGCCCGCTCCTCCTCCGCTCAATAAACAATCCCGACTCCGGCTGCCACCGCTGCCAAATCACTCTTCCTCGCAGTTCCCACCGACATTCATCTCCAATTAGCCACGCCCATTTCTTTGCCCGCTCGGTGCCTTTCTCTAGCTAGATCTCCGCACCACATCGCAGCCTCAACGTTCCGAGCGCGTCCCCGTGGCCACGCCTCTTCTGAGAGACTCATAATCAGCCTTCATTCATTCCCTCCCTTTCACACATGCACGAGCGTAAGAGGTAGCGCGCACGTACATACGCACGTTGCGCTGTTTTCCCGAAGGTAGTCACGTGCTGCTCGAGCTTTCACAGGAAGACACCCAATTGACGTCAGCTTAGTTAGTTCTTTGATCTCTTTACGTCTGATAAATTATTGAGGAAAAAGCTTTCAGTAATGGAAATGGGAGTAGGGTAGTATAGCCATACTTTTTCCATGCAATAACAGAGCTTCCATATCTAGATAAATAATTGAAGTTTAAATTACTATTAATTTTATTTCCATACTGCCCCACAGCTGGAGATCTCTGGGTCGTTCACAAATCATAAAATTATAAACTACAAACGCAAAATACAACATACTATTTCAGTGTACAAAGCTTAAAACCATTTAAACAGCTGAAAACAATTCCATTTTTTAAAAATCTGAACCTGCTAAAAATACAGCTAATTATTCCATTAAATACAATTAATTGCCTGGAAATTGAGCCCTCACCAAGCACTGAAATAATGAAAGCAATAGAGCCAGAGAGGCCTCAATGTGAGATTTATCTATGACTGGGAGGCCACCACTAAGAAGGCACTCTGCCTTACATTGTGAACCTCCCTCAGAGGTGTCATCTGGAGGATGACCTCAGATGTTGATCTTAGAGCCCATGATTCAGGTTGGGAAAGGCATTCCATCAGGTACTGGGACCCCAAGCTGTCTAAGGCTTAAAGTTTAAAACCAGCACTTTCAACTGGGCTCAGAAACACATAGACAACCAAAGCAAGCAGGATCAAGTTGGGGTTTTATTTTCCTACATGATCCCAGTTACTGGTCTGGCTACATTTTGCCCGAGGTTCTTAACAGTCTTCAGGAGTACCACATGTAGACAGCATTGTAGTAATTTAATTCAGAGGTTACCAGTGCATAGATGACTGAAATCACATAATCCCTGTCCAAGTAAGGGCATGGTTAGACCAGCAACTGAAGCTGGTGGAAAACACTTTGTGCCACTGAGGCCACTTGAGCCTTAAGTGATCTCATTAAAATGCAATATTTTATTTTACGGTGTCTAGAAAGATTGCTAATCTTTTGTAGCCAAAACAAAAGGTTCAGGTCATGGCTTCAGTTGGATTGATATAGGAATGGTCAGAGTGGTAGGAGCAACATGGAACAGTTGCAGGGCTGGCATCGACACAGTATCTGGGACTGCTGGCAGGAAAGGCAAACGAGCTTGCTCCATGGTAGATGGGGAGTGATGTGTGGCCCTTTTTATGGACTTTTACATGCCCTTTGTAATAGCCATTTTCAGCTTCTCTGCCATTTTGTGAGACCTTTTCTCCTTTTTAGGTCTTTTACCGTCTGGTGTGTGTTTAGATTTTTCAGGCAGTGATGGAGAGGCTGGTGGAGCTCCTGTGGCTGCAGATGGGGCTGCACATATCTTGTGCAGCCCCAGCTGTGTGATTTTGTGGGTCCTCTGTGGCGGTTTGCATTGCCACAAGAGCCCTGGTCCTCGTATCTGTCTTCAGACAGCCTGCCATGTTCTTCCTGGCTTGTTTGGTAAAAGTCTGGCAGTGTGGGCAGGTGTCTCCTTGGTGTTCTTCACCAAAACAAAAAGGGCACAGGGAATGTCCATCCAGGGATAGCATTTTAACTCTGCACCTTACACACTTTTTGAAAGGCCGCCCTGAGGGCCATCAAATGTGAAAAAGATTTGAGGTAAGATGATAGGAGGGGGGGTTGGGGGGTTGGGGGAAGAGGAATGGAAAAAGAAGTATCAGCAGGGATGAGAGAAAAGTTATGAAGTAAGCATGAGGTTAATAGGTGAGAGAGCAAAGTGAGGTAAATTTGAGATAAATAGATAAAGAAGTATGAGGTAAAAGAAGCTGAAAATACTGAAGCTAGGAAAGCCCCAAGGCACTTGAAACAGTGGTCAAACGTGAATTGAGAAAAATGGTGGGAGCCTTGCCCATTTATACTAGGGGAAAGGGGATGGACCTCCCATCAAAAATTCTAGGCTTAGCTGCAAGAATCTTCCCAATGCAGGCACTCCACAGGCACAGCACCCATACGTGTGATGCACAGAGACCACAAAGAAGAACCAAAAAATTCATGCAGCAAAGTCTTGTGGTATCTCAAAAAGGAACAATGCAGTCCTATTTCCAAAGGGCCAGAACTGGTCTTAATTGTTTGGACCTACAGGTACCAATTATTACTCTGGCTGCCATATTCTGCACCAGCTGCAGCTTCTGAACCATCTTCAAGGGCAGCCTCACATAGTGTGCGTTGCAGTAATCTAACTTAGTGACTACCAGAATGTAAATTATTGAAGCCAAGCTCTCCCTGTCCAGATAGGGGCATGTAATTAATGATAATATTATAATTAATGGATTCAATTCCAATAATTATCTTTTAAATGTGATAGGGGATAATTTAAAATTCCAGGAAGTGTTAAACATATGGTAGAAAACTAAATAACCAGACTTAACTAACCTCATTACCTTGTGTTGCCCCTCTTCACTTTAATAACTTGTTTAGAATCTGCAATTTAGTAATATACAAATCAGTTACAGAACAAGATTAGCAATGATTCATTAGAATATGATGACACATCTAAGATTGTACAACAGAATGATTTCATTGGAGCTCAGTAGAAGTCCATTCCATACACACCGGTTCACTTGCTGCATCAGATGAGTTGGATGTCTTTCCTCAAGATGAGATTATGCTTTTCTCAAAACTCAGGTGCTTCATAGAGTATGATTATGTGACACATGGTAATAAGCAATATAAGTCCTTCACTATGCACACATTATGTTAGTTTAGTTTTTATTGTATAAAAAATAAAATTCCTATAATTACTTCTGTTACTCCTCCTTCCTTTGTCCCTCTTTATAAACCTCAGATATTCCCCTAACATTTATTTAAATTGCTGTGCATTTTCACTCGCTAGTACTAGAGTTTTTTTCAGCTTTAAGAAGAGGTTAATATTGATGATTTATCCTAACAACATAAAAAATCTCAGACAAGATCCGACCAAGGCTTATTTAGTGAAGCATTCTGTTCACACAGATGCCTATGCCACAATGAAATGAACCCTCTTGGTTGGGTTCCCCAATCACTCGTTTATAGTGGCATATTGCTGCCAATACTGGAAATAATATATAGGCATCATGAGCGAGAGAGAGAGAGAGAGAGAGAGAGAGAGAGAGAGAGAGAGAGAGAGAGAGAGAGAGAGAAGCCATTGCTATCTTTATCATGCATCAGTCTGTCTAATCCCCTTTTAAATCAATCATTACTTCTTATGGTCATGAATTCCATAATATACAGTATGCACAATTTAACACTGTGTGAACAAGTACATACTTTTATATATCCTGAACCTCTCACCGTTTAGCTTCATGGGATGATCTTGATTTCAGAATTATGGGAAGTGGGGAGGGTCTCCCTCTCCATTTTATCTGTATCATACAAACTTTATAGAAATTCATTAGGTCTTTCCATATTTGCCTTTCTTCTAAGCTAAACAGTCACAAACCTAGTTTTTCTACGTAAGGGAATTGCTCCTACCTTTTGTTACAATAGGACTGAATATCATGCTACTGATTTGTACGCTAACATTCATGTTTAACAAAACAGCAGAAGCGCTTTGTTTGTTTTTATTTTAATCTAAGAAAATTCAGCACTGATAGCTCTTGGACAAATCAAAAATCATTCAATGCCTTATTTTTGTCTCAGTAGATGTCAAGGAAGAAATCTGGTATGTCTGGCTATTAAAAAAAAACCTTCAAGCCATGACCATATTTACCAGCTCTAATTTATAGTCAGAGCTGTGATAGATTTAAAAGTGGTACCTTTTTATACCAGTTCCCACGCCCCCATACCCTACGTTACTGGCTCAATTAGAATTTGACATAACAAATGGTAATGTCAGAAAATAAATGTCATCTAAAATTACTAGTTGGATATATAAGTTAATCCAATGCTTGACTTCCTAAATTATGAAAAAGACAGTGGGAATGGGGGTGGGGACCACCTATAGCAAAAGAGGATGCTCAAATTAAACAAAGTTGCCTTTTGCAAATATATGTCAAATAAAATATTTATGTGCTACAACTGAATATGTTTTGCATTTATGGTATGAACAGTCTTATGAACATGTCACTTCCATATGACAACAGTGTATGTTCACATGCTACGTTTTCTAGAGAAATAGATTGCACCAGAAGGCTACCTCCTTTGCAATTGTCGTTGTTGTTAGTCACGAAGTCGTGGATAACATTCCTCCAAGCCTTCCTGTTCTCCACCATCAGGTAACTTATTAGAGCTATATAGTAGAAACAGAGTGGCAGTATTAGATACTCTCTAACAATGTTAATCCCATTTAGAATAGTCCCACTGAAATGAGTGGAACTTAAGATAGACTAATGATGGGTACAACTCAATAGGTTTAATCACTATGTAAGGAAGTAATTGTAGGATTTCTACCAATTCTTTCTTATATGAAGAAAAGGAAGCTAAAGTGGGAAAGGAAAAAATATTTGAGCCTTTTTAGTCATATTAATTTATATTACTTTCGGTTCAAATTTCTCATTTTTTCCGTTCCTCTATATATCTGAGGATATATTTATACTGGCATTACAAACTATCACTCAGTCTTCTGAAGTTACAA